GGCGGAGGAAGACAAGGAGGAAAGAGAGGAGGAGGACTAGGAGAGGGAGGAGGAGGAGGAGCTGTAGAGGAGGAAGGAGGAGGCGGATAGGGAGGAGGATGCGAAAAAGGGGTTAGGGGAGGAGGGCGCCGACTGGGAGAAGGAAAGGGCCAAGGAAGAGGAGGAGGAAGAGGAGAATGACTAGGAGGAAAGGGCCGATGCCGGCGAGGAGTAAGAGAAGGAGGAGGAGGGGAAGGAGGAGGACGGAGAGGAGGAGGAGGAGGAGGATGACGAGGAGGACGAAGAAGAGGAGGAGGAGTGAGAGAACGAGGATGACGAGGGGGTGGAGGAGGAAGAAGATGCGGCGCAAGACTAGGAGGGGAAGGAGGAGAGGAGGAGAGGAGGAGAGAGAGGAGGAGTAGGGGAGGAGGAGGAAGGAGGTGGAAAAAAAGGAGGAAACGGTGAAAGGGGGGTCAGGGGAGGAGGGCATTGAGTGAGGGTAGCGGGAGCTAGGCAATTTCGCCTCGACCACCCTCATGATGGGCCTCATCTGCTGCCCAGCCCGCCGACCGTTTTTTTATATTTTTTTAATCAATAAATCAATCAAATAATCAATCAATAAAACAAAAAACGAAAAAGAAAGTATCCAATCGAACAAATCGATTCGATTGGATCTTGATTTAAATCAAATCGATTTGTTCGATTGGATACTTTCTTTTTTGGTTTTTCTTCGATTGATTAATTGATTGATTGATTACAAAAAAAAATTAGTGGGTCACTTCGTTGGCATACAAACGTGCAAATTCATTCAGCGGAGGAGGATGAGGAGGAGAGGGAGTAGTAAGAGAGGAGGGGGGAGGAGGTGGGCAGGGAGGAGGAAGAGGACAAAGAAGAGGCGAAGGAGGACGAGTAGGAGAGGGAGGAGGAGGAGGAGTAGGAGAGGGAGGAGGAGTAGGAGAGGAGGAGGGAGGAGGCAGACAGGGAGGAGGAGGGGAAAAAGGGATTAGGGGAGAAGGACGCCGACTAGGAGAATGAAAGGGTCAAGGAGGAGGAGGAGGAAGAGGGGGAAGACGAGTAGGAAAGGGCCGATGCCGGCGAGGAGTAAGAGGAGGAGGAGGAGGACGAGGAGGAGGACAAGGAGGAGGACGAGGAGGAGGACGAGGAGGAGGACGAGGAGGAGGACGAGGATGAGGAGGAGGACGAGGATAACGACGTGGAGGACGAAAAAGACAAGGAGGAGTGAGAGAACGAGGATGATGAGGGGGAAGAGGAGGAAAAAGAGGCGGAGGAGGACTAGGAGAAGAGGAAGGAGAGGGAGGAGAAGTAGGGGAGAAGGAGGGAGAAGGTGGACAAAGAGGAGGAGACGGCTATGTGACACCCGCAGCCTAGGCCGCGGGCATTTCGGCCTCCTTGGGCGAGATTCTCGTCCGCAGCCGCGGTCGATGAGGCCCGGTCCGCGGTCTATTTTTTCAATATTGTTTTCCCCCCCTAACAATACGTAATACATATATATAACGTATATATATATATATATATATATATATATATATATATATATATATATATATATATATATATATATATATATATGGGGGTGTAGGGCTTGGAAAACCCTACACTCCTATATTTTTTTTTTTGGAATCCGACTTTGTTTAAGATTTTATAAAAATTATAAACTAAGATCGATTTAAACAAAATTGAAAAAAAAAAAAAGAAAAAAGCATATATTTTTTTTTTGTTATTTTTTATCATGAGATATATGGTCCCCGAGTCGACCTGTTTTTTTTTTTGAAATGAAGTTTTGTTTTTTGCAGGGAAATGAGGGGTTAAAAAAAAAAAGCAGATGCAAAACTTGAAAAAAAAAAAAAAAAGGGGGTTTGATTGATTGATTGATTGATTGATTGATTGAGTGTGACTGTGTGTTTGTGTGTGTGTGTGTGTGTGTGTGTGTGTGTGTGTGTTGCTCTCTTCCACACTTTACATGCATGCAAACAGGTGCGCAGCAAACTGGCGACATGCGCCCACTCATAACTCAGAGATATGGTACCGAGAAGACAGTTCAAATTCAAGTTCACTTCGAATGGCTATGTGTGTGTGTGTGTGTGTGTGTGTTTGTGCGCGCGTATGTGTGTGTGATGTGTGATGTGTGTGTGTGTGTGTGTGTGTGTGTGCATGTGGGTGTGTGTGTGTGTGTGTGCATGTGGGTGTGTGTGTGCGGGAGCTGCTGCGACCCTCCCCGTGAGCTGCGCAGCTCCCGCGCGGCGCAACTGTGACCCTCCCCGTGGGCGCAGGCGTGGGAGCTGTGCGGCTCGCGGGGAGGGTCCCAGTTGTGCCCACGTGCGCGCGCGCGCGAGAGAGAGAGAGAGAGAGAGAGAGAGAGAGAGAGAGAGAGAGAGAGAGAGAGAGAGAGAGAGAGAGAGAGAGAGAGA